AATTGATTCATATTTAAATAGGTTTTAAGTTCTTAAACAGAGCCTAAAGTGCTAAATAGTTTTAAGATGAAATATAATGCTTTGATTAAGCCTCAATAATTTTAAACCGAATTAATACAGTCTCCAATAACTTTGAAAAAAAAAGACAAATTTCCGTCAAGAATTGTAATTGTTATAGTTTCCGCCCACAGACAAACTTCGATACATTTAATTATGACACAATTAGTTATCGATACCACATACGATCCGAATCGACTGGTTTAATAGCTGTAGGTGTGAACCACTTATTTCGAAGGGAGCTGTGAAGGTTGTCACTTAGTTTTGTATTTATCAAATCGCTAAATGTTACGTGCAAGGCTTGCATGCATGTAAATTAGATTGGCCTAATAGCACAATCTGTTTTACAGGCAAATCCCATTATATATTATAATTGTTGCCTTTGAGAATTTCAGTTAATAAGTGAATTGTGGACTGTAATTTCTTCCTCAGGCCAAACAACGCTGTCCGCTGTCGTTTTCAATGTTATACTAAATTTATAGTTTAAGATTGAACTAGAATGATAAGTCTTTAATTTTTTTCGGTTGGCGGATCTGCAGAAAATATAATACCTACATTTTCTGTAAACTCCAATCTAGATGAGTGTGATAACTTCAGCCAAGTTTTTCTTTTACAATATTTTGAAATTAACGCAGTTTAGTTAAACACCTTTTACTATTTTTTCTTTGTGTTCTTGTAACATTAAGTCAACTGTCAAATAACTGTAATTTTGTTGTTGTATTTTTGGAGAATATTTAGGCAGGTAGGATTTTTATTTTCAACTTGGATTGATTGTAATCTTAAGTAATCATAGTTTATTTGCTTTTCATAGCTCTTGATACATGATTTTGTTTACAATTTACTTTGTGTTAGCAAAGTTGCATTGCATGCTGTATTATTTTAGTGTTATGTGCACGTGTTAAGAACAATTTGTTACTTTTTAATAATACTTACGAAATACATCTGTTCGAAATTTAAAAATAAATAAATAAAACTACAAATCTATCTAGTTATCTTTAAGAGATTCCCAATGAAATTTTTTAATTAATCTTTAGAAATTATCAAAGGACAACCTGATGCAAATAAAGTAAAAATGTACAGAAAAAGTGTTGTATATCAACCAATGCAATCGAAAACATTCGAAAGGGGACCCACTAATTTCTCAATTTTTAGGTGTCCTGCAATCTATCACTATTCACGACTTTTAAGACCAGTTTCTGTGTCACTCGTAGGCGAGTCACGACTGGAGGAGGTCGCATTATCAGATGAAGTGTACCGCGGATCCATTAGTCAAAATCGACACGCAAACGGTCACGGCTGTCTTGGACTAATTGATAATGCTTATGGACTTCAGATTTATGAACTCCCCTTGAAGTTGAAACAATTATTATTCGTTTAAATCTTGACATAAAAGGCTAAACGTCGGATGTCTAACGTTAAGCCGATGTCTCAATATATAACACATCAAGAATATACCCCTCCCTTCCGACACAAAACAACGCAGGAGTAGGTACTTCGCGTTAGAAATAAGCGTGTGGTTTAACATTATTCTTTGGTAAGAGCATTCGAAATTTTAATTGAAATATCAAGACAAAGATATTAAAAAATCACTAGCTGACACGGCAAAGGTTTTTTGCCATATACATTATTTTTAGGAAGTTTTTTTGTTGGATAAACATTACGGGTATGAAAAATAGATGTTGACCTATTTTCAGATCTACCCGATATGCAACAAACACCGCGACACGAGAATTTTATATATTAGATACACATAACTATTTTTGTATACTCGAGAAGACCAACAATTTTTTTTTTATTGATCCAAAATACAATTTTATTGGATATTTTCAAAACAATTCTACCGGAAGATTACATAAGACTACGCTAGACTAAACAATAACGAACGTAAGGCGGGCTCACAATCATCCGATCTTACAGCCTACTATTGTATATTATCTGCAGCAATTTAAAAAAAAAACTTTTTTTTTTTTTAATCCAAGTTGACACAGTAGAGGTTGTGACCTCGCCCTCGCACGCTCCGATAAGCCGCGATAAGATCGACGCGTTGATCGAGATATAGCGCCGCACAATATAGAATAATATAGATCAATAATTTTGATACTATTCTCTGCAAATTAACCGGTTAAAAGCGTGACTGCACGTCAAAGTTACATGCGTGCGCGAATATTTATATTTTAATAGCCGTATTGTATCATTCGACTTTTAAATCATAAATTATATTCTCGTGGTAGGACCTCTTGTGAGTCCGCACGGGTACCACCACCCATTTTTTTTCTGCCCGGCTTCGGTATGTGAGACTCAACGATCTGCAGGTGTTGAGAGCAGATCGCGGGCCCAAGGATTTTAGGGCCCACCCACTAAACGACTCCCCTGCACTCTTACACGCGACGTCCAATCCCCTCCGAGGCCAGAACCCGGATGAGGTAGGGGGGTTGGTTACCGCGGTTGTCAACACTACAACCAGAGGGTACCACCACCCTGCCTATTTCAACCGTCAAGCAGTAATGCGTTTCGGTTTGAATGGTGGGGCAGCCGTTTTAACTATACTGAGACCTAAGAACTCATATCTCAAGGTGGGTGGCGGCATTAACGTTGTAGATGTCTATGGGCTCCGGTAACCACTTAACACCAAGTGGGCTGTGAGATCGTCCAATCCATTACGTAATAAAAAAAAAATTATCCGTTTATTAGAATTAAAAGATTTATTGTAACTAGTAATACACAGGATAATCGCTAAATGTTCACCATTATTTTACAAATACATACTAAACATAAATATTCATTATAGCTTTGTAGTGAGGTACAAAAAGATTCTGTACCGCCTACTGTAATAAATTTTATTTAAAAAAAAAACATAATTACTGTAGGCATATGGAACCTTGTTTTTTTGTATTTTTCAAACGCGGTTGAAAGCAGCTTGTTCCTCCATCGAAAACAAAATGAGAAATTTTCTTTAAAAATGCCAAAAAGTAAGACGAACTAAATTATAGATAAATAATATGTAATCCATCCACAACGATTTTCCGCACATGGATAAATCATGAGCTGTTGTAGGTTTTTAGCTAGAAGTTAAAATTATTAGATTTTATCGTGTGATCTTAAATTTAAATTATCATATTCAATACACTTAAAACAGGAAAATTAGGTGATTCAGTAGATTGCAGAAACGTATTTTAAAAGGGAAAGAGGTTGCGAAGAGGTTTAGAAAACAAAACGGCGATTATTTAAAATTATTTTTTACAGTCTGCATGTCCGCATCTAAGCTCACATTTCCAGAACTATGGAACGTAATTCACCGAAGTCCGATCATCGTTCTCGTCGAACCCGTCGCTTGCGACGAAGGGCTCGACGAGTAAATTAACTCTCAGACACAGCCCACTGAGTTTCTCGCCGGATCTTCTCAGTGGGTCGCGTTTCCGATCCGGGGGTAGATTCTGCGAAGCACGGCTCTTGCTAGGGTTCGTGTTAGCAACGTTATCAGGTTTTAACCCCGTGAGCTCACCTACTAGTTAAGGCTACGCTGATAAAGCCTCTCAAGGCTCTCAACTTGGGTAGGAAAAAAAACCCAAGTAGACAAAGGTTATTTTATATTAATTTATTTATATTATATTATCTGTATATATAAAAATGAATTGCTGTTCGTTAGTCTCGCTAAAACTCGAGAACGGCTGGACCGATTTGGCTAGCTTTGGTCTTGAATTATTTGTGGAAGTCCAGGGAAGGTTTAAAAGTTATAAATAAATATGAAAATGCCCCGAATTAAATAAAAATAATAACTTTGTTTTTCCTTTGATGTGTCCCCCTTCGGACGGATTCCTTTGTTTTTTTTAAGTTTATTTTATACAAAATTGATTGAGGCACTACGAAGTCTGCCGGGTTAGCTAGTTATTAGATAAATAAACAAAAAGCCAAAAAAAAAACGTAAAATAATTTATTTCATAAATATTACACGTGTATTACGTACATTGAGTTAATTATTACAATACAATAAATGCTCTTCTATCACTACGTAAACCTTATTATAAGTACGGTTGGAAAAAGTCTTTATAAAATTTATTAGTAATTGAGATATGTTATTATTATCTAAACGCTCTTTGAAGTATCTAAAATAAACGACATATAACTCGTCTCTTTTATTTTAATTATTATAGTAACATTTTATATTTACAGTGGACCCGCGATAATGGGGTGTCTGGCTCTTGCGTGATCAGGATTCGGGGAGTAGTCAGCGGCGGCAACGATAAGGCGATTATCGTGACGATTGTCGGATTACCCGGGGTCCACTGTATTTATATGCCTTGAAGTGAATACTGAAATTGGTGGTGGTCTAAATTTATTCCGAATAAATTCAGGCATAATAGTACATTGTGCAGCAAGGGAGAAAAGTAGGACATTTCCTCGCCTTCGGCTCGAGTGGCAATTTTACACGCGGGATGAGATATCCTACTTTTCTCCCGCGGTGCACATACTATTTTTTCTCCTACCAGACCGAATGTTCGTGGAGTACCGAGCCAGGGTCCAGGGGCGAAGCCCTGGCCGGGGGTAAATAAAAAATCAATTCTACTACTAATTGAATAAGAACTGTCTGATGAACTCATATTTGTTTAATACTTCACTATTAAATTTTATTGCCTTTTGTTTATTTCACTTTTACACTAAACACAATATTGCAAATTACCCGAGCACAACAATGGCGGAGAATTTTAGATGCGTGAGAGCAGACGTAGACACTAACGCGCATGCGCACTTGTCAGTACCCAGGGAGGAAAAGTTACACTTTCTACAGCGAGACAGGTACAGCGAGAGGAAAAGTTAGACTTTCTTCCCTGTACAGAGGGAGGAAAAATTAGACTTTCTTCCCTGTAGAGCGGGAGGAAAAATTAGACTTTCTTCCCTGTAGAGCGGGAGGAAAAATTAGACTTTCTTCCCTGTAGAGCGGGAGGAAAAATTAGACTTTCTTCCCTGTAGAGCGGGAAGAAAAACCGAACTTTGGGCGTAGGTAGAGGAAAAAAGATCTCTCGGAACAAGATTGGGCGTGTCCAGTATGTAAAATTACAATTTCATTGGTACCATCCTTCCCCGTACCCTGAGGACAGCACGACTCGTTGCTTTCTCCCGATTTCTATATGGCTACTATTAAATTTAATGAAAAACGACACGTATTCATCTATTTACAATTTAAACATATTTCTAAAGACACATAAAGATTTTATGACAAAGCGAACGCGATTCGAAGCTCTATTCCGACTGCGTCGTTCAAAGCAAAGCACCACAGATTAAATACATTCTCGACTTATTATTTGAATTGTTTTTTTTTTATTTCAGATATATTCTGACGAAGGTAGAGAGAAACATGTGGTAGTAATAGTTACCGTTGCAGTAAACGTTGGCAACACTTGGGACATTTACAAGTTATCTCCTTAAACGATCAAAAACTCTTGTCAATTTATTTCCAATGTCATTTGAATCCAAACTTTGTTCTAAATAACAAGCTTCAAGCCTCTGCCAAAAGCCAAAATTAAATTCGATGCTAACTTACACAGGGTGTGATACAAACTGTTGTGTGAGAATATTATTCGATAGTGACATTAAATTATTTGATTAAAGTTAGCTTATAGCAAAAAAATTTTTTTAAATATATACTCATGTGACTTTTATTGTATTTTTTTAAGTTGTTCCGCATGGCTATCTATGTGATTGAATCCACCCTGTATATGCTTGCTTCCGTTGCCTAATTGCTTTGCATTGAAGACCGCCTATTGGTTCCGGCGCCTAACGAAGGCACGCACAGCAGACAGCCCTGACCGGAACCGGAAATAGAGCCCAGAACCCCACGCTTGTTCCTCAACCACCGCGCCAATGGGCTCGGGCCTTGCGTACTTCAAGAATCCTGATTCTGCAACTGCTTCAGTTGCTTCAGGACGGTGTCGAGGAGCTTACGTCTGTCTCTCTCGTTTTTCTTCAGAACAGAGAAGACGGAAGACTTCTGCTCGGCCTCCTTTAGTTTCTCGAGCAGGGTGGCAGCGTCTTTCGGCGTAACGAGCGTGTATTTTCCGCCGTCGATGCCGACGTCGTGGAGGTACGACGACCAGTCCCAGCCCGTGATCAGATCCAGTAGTTGCCTGTTTGATTATGATTCATCAAATGGGGGGACGAGCTCATGACCCACCCGACTAAAGGGATAACGGTGTGCTTAGTGCGAGGTTTTCGATCGCGTAAAAGTTAACTCAAATTTGTATGGAGCTGGAACAGCCTCCTACGTTTGCCGCTAGGGGCGCTGTTAAAGTGAAAGTTAAAAAACTCGCACTCGCAAAGAGATTAACAACGTAAACGCAGCCTTGAGAGATGAGGTTCTAAGGTTTCACTTTTAACAGTACAACGGCTGCCCCGCCCTTCAAACCGAAACGCATTACCTATTGTGAGTCCGCGAGGGTAGGTACCACCGCCCCGCCTATTTCTGCCCTGAAGCAGTAATGCGTTTCGGTTTGAAGGGCGGGGCAGCCGTTGTAACTATACTGAGACCTTAGAACTTATATCTCAAGGTGGGTGACGCATTTACGTTGTAGATGTCTATGGGCTCCAGTAACCACTTAACAACAGATAGGCTGTGAGCTTGTCCACCCATCTATGCAATAAATAAAAAAATCTTCTTGGCTGGGAAAAAGTTTCAATACTCGAGAAGCAGTACAAAATGCCTTTGAAGAGTTTGTTATCTTAACTGGTCAAACACGAAGAAGATATCTTGAGGATCGTTTTTACTAAGAGATTTATTTATACGGCATTTTATCTGGCTGCGGTATGAAATGGGAACGCTTTCAATAGTAATGCGACGTCACTTAATTTATTTAAATGGCAACACCGCATAGCATGACTAACGCCATTTAAATTGTCAGTGGACTTTTTGGCGGAATGCGAGGAGCGAATTTGTGTGAATTGTTTTATTTTGTCTTTTTAGTGTTTCTATGTGCCAGTAACCACTTAACACCAAGGCTGTGAGCTCGTCCACCCTTCGAAGCAATAAAAAAATATATATATTTAAAAATGTGTGGGCAAGTCACACACGGTAGAAGTGAAACTTATATAAAATAAGAATATTCGCAAGGGTCAACCACCAACCACTCCGCAATGCAAAGGAGCAGCCTCACCCAGGGGGAACCGCCTGCATGATCACTGTATCTTTACGCGGTATCTTTGATTAAGCAAGAGAAATACGAGATCGTCTATCAACTGTGTAACATCTCGCCATGGCGATTCAGGAATTGTTGAATTTACGTGCAGCGACATCTGTTGGTAACAAACTAAATATAAATAATTGTAAATCATCTTTTATAGTATGAGGTAGCGCCCTCTGTGAATTGATATTTTAACTTCACGTTTCATTTTTTCGTTTCATCGAGTTTGAAATCATATCACAACGATCCTAAAGAAGTTTCACTTCAAAAATAGCTAGTTCATAAATCTATAAAGATCTACCTCAGACTAGCAAAGTGCTCGAGCAGTTCCCCCTCCCGGAGGCCGGGGACAGGCTCGCCGGCCGCGAACTGCTCGCACTGGATCACGTCCAGGTCGAGTTGGTACAGCGCGCCGGACGAGATCTGCTTGACGGCCGGGTCCAGCAGCAGGGCGCGGAGTCGCGTGGCGATGCGGTTCGTTGCCGCCCGGACCGCCGCGACCCTGGGTCACAAGTTTGTACCATGATAAATATACATATAAATAGACTAATAGACAACATATCGCCCATTAACGTGTTCAGTAGACCTTGGCTATATCTGGTATTGATGGTGCTAGTTGGTGACTCTAATTATTTACCATTAAGCATATCATGCGATCGTATGGCTTTGATGTGAACAATATAGCAAACAAAATTATAAAATAGAAGAGGCAGAGAAAAGGAGGGAGAGAGAGAAAGAAAGAAAAGGAGGGAGAGAGAGAGAGAGAGAGAGAGATGGGGAGAGGGAGAGAGAGAGGGAAAGAGATAGAGAGAAATTAAATTTTATTGCACGCTAAAACATATTTAAAATTGAAAATAATTCAATATGCATGTATCATGTGTAACCTACGTAATATTTTGTAAATAACAATTTTTGTAACGATTCCGTTGATTTTTTGTGTATCTAAAGTACATAGATACCTGGATGGTTTTTATTTACTCGTGAATCCGATAAGTGGCGCTGCTATTAAATTCCAGAATATTTATGGTTTTCAAGGCAAACCGATACCGTTGACCTTAGTCGTACAAAAAGACAAATAACACTTTTTTTGTTTTTATTTAGTGTTACTTGTTGAGGGACTTTAGCTTTGGGATAAACTGGTTTTCGAAGCATCCAAAATGAAAACAAAAGACTAAATGTTATATACAAAACGAATATAACCTTTAAGTGTCAATGACTATGGTCGAATTTCAATCGTTAGACTATCGTGGAGTAGTTTCTCACCTGGCTCGCTCGGGCAGCTGCTCCAGTGACGTCAGCACCCCCGACAGGTAGCTGAGCATGTCCGTCACGAAGGACGAGGCTTGTCCGATGGGCTCCACTGGACCAGATTAAAATTATGATGATGCTCGATACATCGACAACTGTTCACCCCCTCACTAATTTATGGGAGACATTTCGACTGAGCTTTCGACAGGAAAATACTTTATCAAGACATTTAATTTACACTGGTGGTAGGACCTCTTGAGTCCGCACGGGTAGGTACCACCGCCCTGCCTATTTCTGATGCGTTTCGGTTTGAAGGACCTTAGAATTTATATCTCAAGGTGTGTGGCGCATTGACGTTGTAGATGTCTATGGGTTCCAGTAACCACTTAACACCAGGTGGGCTATGAGCTCGTCTACACATATAGGCAACAACAAAAAAACCATATCTCACTATACCTCAATATACAGAGCGATGAACTACACTTCGCTACAGGTTAGACTTCCTTTTCGATGCTAGTAATTGAACAACCTTAAAAAAACTGACAGACTAGACTGGTTGTGGTTTCGATTCCTACATCGTGGATATGTTCGTGCGAACAATAAGTCTGTTTGCTCTGTGGCGGTAGGACCTTTTGTGAGTCAGTATGGGTAGATAGATACCTTGCCTATTTCTGCCGTGAAACAGTAATGCGTTTCGGTTTGAAGGGTGAGGCTGATTTTTATTACACGATGTTATTCCTTCACCGTGGAAGTAAATCGTGAACATTTGTTAAGTACGTATTTCATTAGAAAAATTGATACCCGCCTGCGGGACCCGAACACTGTTGCATCGCTCGATACGAATGAACCGGACGTATTATCATTTAGGCCACGACCACTAACATAATTTCAATTAATTATAGTCAAATTTCGGTTACTGGGGGACCACTATTTTATATAAATATGTGCGATAGTCTCTGGTCACTGCGGTCCAGGGAATCTTAGTTTGGGTCCAAATAATCTGTGACCTGTCCCGGATTTTAACTTATTATCATAAAAGGTTACCTAAGAGCCAGTCGTAGTTTTCTAAGTCGAGGAATTCGTCCACCTTCTTCTCCAGCTTGTCGCATATCTGCTGCTCGGCGTCGTCGCGAGCTGCCTGGAACATGCTGCCCGCGGCCTGCCCCACGCAAACAAACATAGTAACTAGCATTTTTATTTTTAAATAACACATCGATTCGCGAACAAGCGTTCATTTTGTCTATTTAGTGTTTCTTCAGGTTTAAATGTGTAATAAGGGTGGTTTATTAACTGTTTAATATCTGTGAAAGTGCACAAATGTGGGAAAATGAAACAAAGCCGCTGGACGTAACTTCTCGGGATCCTCCAAAAAGTCCACTGAAAAAATCTCAGTAAATGACTACCATTTTACTGATATTATTTTTCATCCAATATAATCTCTTTTCATTTAGTTTCATCCCAGTTGATTAATGTCTCAAATTAATCATCTTCATTTCATTTCATTTTACTCCATATTATCATTTTTCATAAAAATAAGAATAAAATTAAAATAAGACATCACTTAAAGGTCTTAGTTACCAGATCATAAAGTCCCTTAATAATAATTTAATAATGATAATTATTCGATACGGACCTGAGTGGTCACGAGTTCCGAGCCCGTTATGTTGCTGATGAATTCGTACAGACAGACCGTGGCGTCTTCTAAATACTGCGTATCCACTATTATCTGAAAGTTTTTATTTACGGGTCACTCCCGAATTCGAGTGTTGCCAGCTTCGAACATATTGATCATTAATGACTTAAAGTTCCAATTTTAATTTGTTGATTGATTTTTTTTATTTTTTTTCAGTACTCTATATAAATTCTGTTCATTGGATATACAAATTAATTTGTACGGAAAAATTCCAGCAAGTACATTATATGGCTTGTTTTAAAAGAGCTGTTGACGATAACATTTATATCAACAAAGTTTTTTTAAATTAAACATTGCACATGTTTATTCGTTCTTTTTTGTTAAGAGTTACATTCGAGTTTGAAAAGTTATTTTTTTGTATAAGGGTTGGGCCTCACCTGCACGAGCTGCACGAGCGGCAGCGGGCGGCGGAACAGCGCCGACAGACAGCCGGCGAAGGAGCGGCTGAGCAGCAGCGAGGCGGAGTGCCGCGCCGCGCCCGCCCGCCGCTCGCCGCCCAGCCCCAGCCCCGCCGAGTACATCAGCCACGCGTATATGAACTCCTTCACTTGCACGTACACGGACGTCACCAGGGACGAGAACGGAAACCTGCAGGCGCGTAACGCTTGACTTATGTACTACACGAACAAGAGTTATCGTTCGGGTAAATATAAGTTATAGGGTGCCTATAATCAGTGCGTCCTACCCGTTACCTACGGAGCCAAAACGTAGACGCTGACCGTGTGACTAGTCCATCAACTAAAAGTTTCTCAGCGAGCTATGGAGCGAGCTATGCTTGGTTTGTCATTGCCAGACCGAATACGTAAGTCATTCGGACAAAAACTAAGGTGATCGATATAGCTCGCAGAGTTAGTAAGCTGAGGTGGTAGTGTGCTGGTCACATATGTCGCAGAACCGATAATCGTTGGGGTAGACGTGTTCTGGGGTGGAAACCGCGAACCGGCAAACGTAGTGTAGGACACCCTCCTGCTAGATGGAGCGACGACCTGCGCAAGGCAGCTGCCAGTAACTGGATGCGTAGAACCGAAGATCGGGTTCAGTGGCGAGCTTTGGGGGAGGCCTATGTCCAGCAGTGGACTGCCGCAGGCTGATGATGATAGGGTGCCTTGAGCATTGAGTTTTCGGAACTTCTCAGTGGGTAACGTTTCCGATCCGGTGTCAGATTCTGCGAAGCACTGCTCTTGCTAGGGGCTAGTGTTAGCAACGTCACCAGGTTAGAACCTCGTGAGCCCACCTAGTAGTAGTAGATCTGGTGGTGAATTCTGCGACTACTCTTAGCAACGTCGTCAGGTTAGAGTTCCATGAACTCACCTACTCGTTCGGTAAATCTAGTATAACCCCTCGAGGTGACTAGAATAAGTAAGAAAAAAAAGCGGAAGAGGGGATCGCGCCATACATGAATGCTTTGACCTTGTAACAAGATGCCGTGTGTGAGAGAATTATGTATTGAAAAAATAGATTAGTAAATTAAAATTATAATTTGAGAATTGAGTACAAACATGCATAGCGTGCGCTTGAGGTGGTTCGAATAAGGAACTACATTTTTTAAACACTCATTTAAACCTCTCCCCCCTTCCTTCTCTCTTTCTCTCTCTTTCTCTTTCTCTCTCTATCTCACTCGCAGAAACTATACGATTTTAAAATTGTTTGCATAAACACACAACGACGTAATGTTGGTCGTCTCTATGAATCTATGTAAATACTTGCTGTAATATATTTGTATAGTGACTCACTTCCTGGGGAACGGTTGCGTCTCCAGCTCTTCGCCGTCGTAAGGGAACTTGTCCATCACGCTGTCATATTCCTCTTGATTTTGAACCTGACAGAAAAAAAAATTTTTTAAGCTGCTATAATTCAGGCACTCATATAAAATTTAGCACTTTTCGATGATTTACTGTACACTAGTGGTAGTTTGATAATTGATATTGAAAATCGAGGGTAATTAATGTTTTTATTTGTTTAAATGTACGAAGGTAAATAAAAATCTTTATTTATAGCAAAACTACTAGCCGTCCGCGCAATATATTTAAAAATAAGTACAGACACCAACATAATATATATGACGGAGTGACTGGTGACGTCGCCGACAGGCGCCACGTTGTTTTCACAAATGATCATTCTATTCGTTACTGTCATTGCCTTTCATAGTGAGAGTAATTAAGACTTTTCAAACGCTTTTCCAATTTTTTTTTTTTTAATTTCAAGCAAGGGCGGATCCAGTTGTGGGTCATGGGGGTCATGACCCCCCCTGAGCTGGTTCCAGGACCTAGGTGGACCACATATTGAACATAATGATTTTAGGACCACGGTTATGGAATATGAAGAAGCTGCCTCATTCCTACTTTTTACTTGTATCTATTGTTATCAAAATTAAATTATAAGTTCTTGACTTGACCATGACTATGTGACCCCCTCCTGGCACCAAAGCTGGATCCGCACTTGATTTCAAGTATAGAACAATAACAACGGAAAGCTTCACTTCGTTCGACTCCTTCAGACGGAATCTATTGTGCTTTTTTCCCCTAACTATTTAAATAATTGAACTAGTTTAATTTAGTCGCGGCAGATTTTAGAAAACATGTAACACGCTAATGAAAACATAGCACGAATTCGCACAAAGAGATTTTTACAAGTAGAGGAAACATTAATGTCATCTATGTACCTCGATGGGCAGGAAGGATCCGTTGTCGAGTATGTCCCGGAAGACGCCGACCCACCGCTGCATCAGCACCTCGGTGTAGTGCTCGGCCATCTCCTGCAGCAGCAGCGGCAGCGGGTCCGTCGGCAGCCCGTAGCATCTGGAAGACATTCAAGTCAATCGAAGCATTTTTTGGGATAATTTTTCGCGGAAGTTTCTAACAGCGGTAATAAGATTTAAGTTTTTTTTTTACAATTAATTTTGTAAATTAATGCTTCACTAAAGACTAGTAAAGACAAATGGTCATCTATATTATATTAATACGTAAAGCAAAAACTTTGTACCCCTTTTTACGAAAATTGCGCAGACGGAGAAGTATTAAATTTCCCACATCTATAGAGAACATAGAGGAGTGCAGAATATTAATATTTTTTTAAATTATGCATAAAAAATACACTAAATCAATAAATAAAAACATTACACACACTACCATGTATTTAACGCATGCATACTATTTGTTTATTGTCAAACTTTTCTTATTGCTTACTAGCGACCCGCCCTTGGAAACATTAAATTTTATTATTGATAGCAGATTATTATCATGGATAAATGACTTTTCCTTACAAATAATGATTTATAATCAATTAAAACAACTTACTTGAGAGTGTTTATGAACAGCATAATTTGATCCTTGATTTTGAGCATCAAGTTAGGGTCGGTTACTAGCGACGTGTTGGTCCGGAGTGTCGAGGCCACCTTGGTCACCGACATGCCCCAGGTGTCCAGCAACCAGTCTTTGGACACCAGCCCGGCCCCGGCGGTCAGCAAGTGCTCCTCGAGTATGAAGAAGCCGAGGACTGCGTGCAGATAGTTCCTGATGCCCTGGATTGAGTCGTGGAGATTGCCAGACGAGGGAATCAATACGAGGCGGGCTTGTTGCCGGCGCTGAGATCTGCGATCGAAAAATTATTATCATAGATAGTATAGTTGTAATTAGGGTTGCCAGATTTTTTTTTCAGCCTATTAGGTGCAAATGCTCAAATAGGCAAAAAAATACGGGTATTTAGTTTTTTACCCGGGACAAATAAAAAACAACATTATATAATGACATTCTTTATTTTTTCTGATATTTCTAAAAGGAGCAAGTCAGTTTTAACATATTTTTATCGGTTTTTACATATTTATAAAAATCAATACAATTATAATCGTACGGTTCGAATACGGGACAGTCAGCGGGACAGCCAAAAATAAGGGACGCCCCGGGAAATACGGGACGTCTGGCAACTCTAGTTGTAGTACAGTTGTAGTACAATACATAATTGTACATACAATACTTGTTGTTGTATATGTTGTAAAGCGTCAATGTTGTATCTTAGTTAACTAGTAAGGTTAGTAATTTATTAATACAATTTCTTGTCACACGCTTTTATTCAGAGCTCACAAATCCACAATGAAGGGAGCCATTTAAAAAAAAAATTGTCTCTGGGCTCACTATGTCCAATACACCATCTACAATAATATAACTTAACACTAATTTATATATACAACACCAGTAATCAATATTATGCAAATTGTTTCTAGAAAGATTGATCTTATGTAATATTAGCATAGACATGTAATGCATTCAAGGATTTACAGAAGTACATTTAGGGATGTAATTCTTGTGAGGTCGCACTGTAAGTCGACGTTTTTGCATTAGATTCTCGAAGGGTGCCTCGTGCTTGCTGTGCCCAAAACATGAATGTCGTACTAACCTGTAATACTGTATGAAGTCATTCTTAGCTCCTAGGACCGTGTGGATGTGCAGACACCTATGCAGAGGACTGAAGTCTACCAGCTCGTGGGGACACTGTGGACCGTCTGAGGCCGTCACGCCCTGTGATTTATCTGCGAAGTAAACGAAAAACACACTTATGAGTAATAAGTGATAATGAGTGATAATGAGTGATAATATCACTATCACACTGCACCTACCAAGCTTCATCTCTGCACCCCCCTAAGTTAGACTGTTACAGAATGCCTATGGCATTAAGTCCACCTTTATACTATCTAGTATATAAAGTTATAAATAAATAAACGAGTATTTCATGTTCCGGACTCCGATTACGTCCAATCTACTTAACCCTTTGACTGCCATGCAGGTTACCAGTGCCCTACTTAAGTAATTATGTCGATTTTTGTTACTAAGGCGCCTGCATTACCTAGCTTTGGGTTCTTTTGTTTTTAATGTCATGTTTTAGTCATGTACTTGCTACGAACTAAGCTCTTTGAAGAAACTTTACTATGCCCTGTGCCAATAACAATCCGTCGTACCATTATTACTACCATTATCTTTTTATAAACAAAACTTACCTTTTTTACTGATTATGTTAGCTAAACTTCTGCCCATCATATCTTGAGTTTGCTTCAGAGCCATCGCACCGACCTGCATGAAAAAGATGCAGATTGTTTTTAGTAAAAGTATTTTTATCTCTCACTCTCTCTCTCCAATTCCGTTAGGTGCATATTGAAGTAGTCATCGTACTGCTTTATTTACTTTATATAAAATTAGGCAGAGTGGTGGAACCTTCCCGTTCGACTCACAAGACGCCCTGCCACCGGTATTTACTTTTATTGAATTCTTTCTAAAGATCATATTTCAACAAAACATCGTTCATGTTCGTAATTTTACATTTCAGGAGGTTTTGATTACATTTCAGAACGTAAGAGAGAAAAACAAGTCAAATGGAAGTGAGCAGTGATCCATAACAAAGAAAATAAAAGTGTACATATCAGTGACTGTCATCAAAAATCTATTTGGTTAAAACTAACTTCATTATTCTCATAGATTATAGCTCGTAATCATATTATTTATAATACCTGAGGGCTAAGCCTACGAATGTTCTCTAGAAAGTCCCTCAAATCGGCCATTGAAGCATCTCGTATGGCCTGCCTCAATCGTGGTATATCGGAAGATATCTGAGCGCACCATTTGTATGGACCGACTCGTGGCAGTAGCACATGTTCGAGTTGCTCTAGAGTTTTAAGTGCTGGATAATATCTGTAAAATTTACAAGAAGCATCTGAATTTAAGTTCAAATTTCAATGCTCTATAGCTAATTATGTAAACAAATTACCCTTGCTTACCCTAGCGTGTGTAGGTGAGCTCACGGGGCTCAAACCGGAGAGTTGCTAACACTGACCCTAGCAAGAGTAGTGCTTCGCAGAATCTACCACCAGATCCGGCGAGAAACTCAGTGGGCTGTGTCTGTGGGTTAATTCGCTCGTCAAGCTCTTCGTCGCAAGCGACGGATTCGACGAGGGTGGTGACAGGTGCTTGTAGTGCTTAAAAGCTCCACTAATCATAGTAATATATAAATGTACAGTATTCGCTCTTGACCTACCTCTTGGCTTCTACTTGGGATTTGAGTTTGGAGTAAGTAGTGAGGAGAGGTAAACACAGTTCCATTTTTTCAATGGTAGCCGCAATGTTCAGTTCGACTCTTCGAGCCCTGATCAATTCGTCTGCTCTAATGCACAGTGCTGGAATATAAAGAAAAATTAAGTTATATAAGGCCATATCAGTAAAAGTTTTAAATCATTGTGGCTTAAAGGAGAAAATTCATGGAATACTAGTGGTATTGTGCTAAAAAACCATAAGATTAAATAATAAAAGTAGTTTCAATTATGTCTACTACTCACAAAAGAGAACTGAAGGAAATACTACCAATTAATATGTTAGCTATTTTAAATAACACACAGTTAACCTTTGGACGATCATTCTTATCTTTTTTTTTGTCATTTGTCATTAAATCATGTAGCGAGAGAGACTCACATCTCTAGTGCAAAGGATTAATTGTATCATATTGTATTGTATCAATGTTTTTCATGTTAGGAAATTAATATTGCTCATAAGACCATCAATTTTACCTTCGGTAGTCTCTTTGACATTAGCATCTACATTAGATATTTCAGCATGCAATTCTTCAGCATGAGAACGGACTTGCAGCAATTCTCTTATAGAATCTATGAAACCCTGAAAATTATTATTCAAACAATTACATATTTTATTACAGTTTACATATTATGTGTTTCTACGTTCTAAGTTTCTATATCAATAGCAATTTTATGTATGTAAATCATTAATAAACATTTGCTTTAGGATTCATAATACTAATTAATAAAATTTTCAATTAGGAACTTATGGTCAACATATGGTATTCATCCAACCATTTCAGATTGCATTTTACTAAGCAAATTTTTAATACTATATTGATGCTATTTTTGAACTCAGTACATTTGAGTGATGAAAACCTTAAATATAAAATTTCGCACCTGCACCAGGATCGAACTATGACATGAATATACAGTGCTTCGGATCTATTACTCCACAAGTATATCCAATCCAAACACTAGCTATGATCAAACACTAACCTGATAGTGAAAATTACACAATTTCTCAATTTCCTTATCGTGTTGCTTTATTCGATCATCTAGTTGTTGCACGAATGCTTCGTGCCCTTCACCTTCGTAAACGGATCGGAATGCCGGCCCCCAATAATCATCTATACCTTCGATTTCCTAGGAGATTGAAAATTGTTTTAAAACAATTAATTTTGTAGCCATCTACGTTAAATGCTTTTAATAATTTAATTAACATACTGATTATCGTAAACGTTAGAAAAAATACTATATACCTACTTTTTAAGTAAGGGGAGTTTACCTGAATCGTTGCATTCATTTTCGGAAATAATACTCTTCTTTTTTTCTAATTCAATTGCAATAAAAGGTATTAAGCCTCAACTGTGTTAGGTTTCGATTTGTTATCATATAATCTACCAGCGTATTTATGGATGAAAGAATTTGAAATTGATTATTATTTATATTTTTCAAAACATTCATTACAGAAAAATAAATCAAGCCACAGCTGATTAATTTTTCATAGGGACTTTTGACATCTTTGATTTACAACATAGATAATAGGTACCGGTAGAACGGGGTGATTAGGGACAAATTCCAACTTGTTGAACAGTTTTAAGGTAGTTGTTGATGTTTAAAATGCTATATCATGATCAAAATGGTTGAGTCTTGGGGCTATCTTTGTTATCCAAATTAAAGCTATGCAATTAGCATTCCAGTTTAAGTAAAAAAAGCAAAAATAGGTGTTATCCGTGCTTACCCAGAAATTGTGGTTATTGGGGACGAAATTAGTGTTAATAGAGAAATTTGCTAGGGCTGGCACTCCTTGGTTTTAATTTATTTATTTAGTTGTACCAACAAAGTGATCATCAATAAAAAACATTGAAAAACTGACAAAAGTACATGGCAGATGTCACCTCAATTATAAGTGCAATCGACAGTGCATTGACAACAAAAATAAAAAATATACAACCCTTCCTTTTAAACCTTCTCTGGACTTCCACAAATAGTTCAAGACCAAAATTAGCCAAACCGGCCCAGCCGTTCTCAAGTTTTAGCGAGACAAACGAACAGCAATTCATTTATATATATATATATATATAGATGACTTAGACATTTTTGGCCACCTTGAGATTTCATTGTTCTTGTGACATGTCTGTGCAAAACCGACTTACATAAGTTAAATTGCTTAGCTATTTCAACTAAAGACTTATTCCTAATTTCATAGACTTATATTACTGTTTTTCATATTATGGGGTCATATCAAAGGATTTGCACTCTTTGATACGTACACGCAAGGCATATCTAAAAATAGAAAACAACACGTAACTGATAATATAAATATTTGCCAAACAATAAAATAACACTGCATTGATAATTTTGAATAAAAGTTCTAGACAAAAACATCATGAATAAACCAAATTCTTACCAACTAATTAAAAAAATAATGTTATAACTACATATACAATCCTAAAAACCTGTACCTATTTATACTTAGGTCGTTTCCATATAACTTAACTAACTACCTATCTCATCCCAATTGACCCCTTTTTCGTTGTTATTTGTTCCTGAGACGTCCCCAATATCCCCTAAAAACAACAGATTTTTATTTTATCAAAAACATTATAACCAATAACAACTGAGACTTATAATAAGACTAAATAACGTTTATAAATCACAGTTGTCTTCTATTATTATCAAATAAATAAAAGAGAGCAAAGTTTCTAGCACTAAAATAATTACCGTTTTTTTTTTTTTTTTCCTGCCTAAGCTGAGAGCCTTGAGAGGCTATTTCAGCGTAACGCTAACGTTTGTAGGTGAGCTCACGGGGCTCAAACCGGATGACGTTGCTAACACGAACCCTAGCAAGAGCCGTGCTTCGCAGAATCTACCACCGGATCGGAACGCGACCCACTGAGAAGATCCGGCGAGAAACTCAGTGGGCTGTGTCTGGGAGTTAATTTACTCGTCGAGCCCTTCGTCGCAAGCGATGGGTTCGACGAGAACGGTGACCGGGCAAATAATTACCACCACAAGAAGTTAATTTGAAAATCCCTAATCACCCCATTTTACCTACGTATGATTGACACGATTGACAGACCTCACACTGTCGTTGTTGCATAGCGTTGTTGTGATGTTGTTGTGTCGTTGGAAATGTCATTTTTTATAGATTACACTTAACGGTCAATGTTACAGAAGCGCTAAGTGAGCCTATGATTGAAAATATTTGAACCATATTTGAACCAACCCATACCTGTCAGTTGTTGTCAAAAAAATTTAAAAAGTATCTTGCAACAACAATAACTAACGATGATTTGATTAAAAAATCGATTTAATATCACTTCAAGATATGACTGGATGTATGCAAGTTTTTTAGAATGTCACCATAATACGAAGTGACAACTTAGTTCGCTGGCAAGTCATCTGATAGAAGTATAGCGTCAAACCACGAAAAGCTTCGTCTTCAGTTAAATTATCAACTAAATTCTGAAATAGTAAGTGGAACGAATGAACGAGCCGGATAAATCATTTTCACCATTTCATATCACTTTAACTAAAACAGTAAAGTGTAAGTAATAGGTAGTCTATGGCAAAATGACAGCCAACTACTATCAACTGCCAAACTTATTTGACATTTTTTTGGCAATTTACTTTCTATCTGCGATAGAACTGATAGAAGTTTTTTATCTGATGGATTCAGAAGTTACGTGTTGCAGTGGATGAAAGTACAGTGTGATCAGGCCCTAAAATAAAAGAAAATCACTTCAAATTGACCCATGTGGCACTCGTTTATTTGATTCTAAAATTTTTCTAAATTAATTCGTTTAATATACTGAAGTCCGGCGACCATGGCGCACTGTATGAGAGTTTTGCATGGCCAGGTATATACATAAATGATTCCACGAATTTCACATCTCAAATTACACTACAATGAGATAAAACCAAACAATTCTGTTATTGTCTGTTTATGAAAAAAAAACCTTATCATACCCCCGATATGTAAATTTGTGATAAATTCCATCGATTATAAAGGTCGGGTCATATAAATTAAACTATGATTTTGTAAGGTTAGCGTGTGGTTAATTACGGGTTATCTACGAGTAAATTGTTTAAAATTAAACTGTTTATAATTGGGACCATAAGTTTATACCGATGTTTTATACAATTTTTTATACTCACAAGGAACTTTTGGTTACAGGGTAGCAGGACAAGGGTGGTACTCTCTGAAATCCAACAAAGATGTTTCAGCGTATCTCCATTGACCGCCGCCGCGGCCCAGGTAGGACAGAAATCGTGAAAAAAGTGATATTATTAGTGTTTTCTGTGAATACATAAACATGTTATGTAACCATTGGTGGTTAAGAAAAATGAGTTTTCTGAGTGAAAATGTTTGGTATTATAGGTGGCGATGTCCAAGTTCGACAAGGTACCCTTGCCTTACGAAAAGTTGACAAAGAATTTAGAGGTGGTTAAGAAGAGGCTAGGGAGAGAATTGACCTTGTCTGAGAAAATCCTATATTCTCACTTGGATGACCCCAAAGGACAAGTAAGTCGAATATTTTGTTTAACTCTTGCCATAAAACTAAAGGATCATATTTTTTTTAAACAAATTTAAACACTTTTTTTTTTAAGAATCAAAATTAAGCCAAAAATGTAATCAAAATATTATATTTTCTAAACCTTTTATTCTTAGATGCAATATAAAAAAGATAAACTTGCCAAAAAATTACATAAACTATTGGAAATCATCATTTAAACTTTAAGGATAGTTCCTGTATGAAGTTCCTTGGAAGTTTTTTTGGCTTTTGATTGCTGTTTAAAAAACAATCAGCAGTAACTATATAGTTTAAATTCAAATAAAAGATACAATAGATCATAGACGAATAAAAGCACCTTTAGCTTTTAAAAAATAAAAATAAATCCGATGGTTATAAAAACAAGTTTTCAAAAAATATCTTTATCTACTATTTTTTTATTCAATTATTTGGTTTGGTTTATATAAATATTTTTATGTTCTTCTATTTATCTATATGTATTTATCTGCTGTAATTTATTCTTACATAACAACTAAATCTTAGTGCAAAAAATTTATCTAAAATGAGTAGCTCTTACATAGGTACATATAGGAAACCATTACTAATGAATCAGTTATGTTATTTAAGTTTTAAGATAAAATTCTTGCATGAAATAAACAAATTTTTGTTCTATTATTGAATGTTCTTGACTATGAACAAACATGCAATGGAAATATTAAAGTGATATTTTCCAACTATTTTCTGCCTATTTGTTTATTTATTTGTGTACCTATGTGACAGTAACTAAAAATATTAATTATGGCCTTCAGACCTACATAAAGAGAGGGTTTTTAGGAGTCTATAATAGATCTTACCCTTGCTATACTTGATAACACCACAGCTCACTATGGCATGCCAAAAAATTTAAACTGTCATGCTGATATGAAATATTTCAATAATTTTTTTTTTTTTTATAGAATTTTTAGATTTTATAATTTCTTGCTTTATTATAAAAAAAAGAACACAATATTCCTAACCTAATAAATTGTTTCAATAAATGAGTATACTTTCTTAGTATAAATATGTATTAAGTGTGTGTGTATAGAAATATCATAGATCACTCAACTTTAACCCTCTTAGAGAATATATTATATCAAATATCTTATAGAACATAATATTTGAAAAAAAAAAAAAAACCTAATGGCGCCAAGGGAATTAACTTGCTTACATATAAATTACAGACACTAAGACCGTCAGTATACCTATTAACAATATTGCTCACTGGATGATGTCCTTTTCCCCAAAGTTCACCATCATATTTAATAAATTAATATCTTGGTATTAATAAATCACATTAGTCTTAAGTATAAAATTTAAAAACTACCTAAATGAGATTTATATTGCTATGTTATTGTTCAGGAAATTGAACGCGGCGCAAGTTATCTCCGCCTGCGTCCCGACCGTGTGGCCATGCAAGACGCCACTGCACAAATGGCAATGTTACAATTTATCTCTTCCGGCCTTCCCCGTGTAGCTGTACCGTCCACCATTCATTGTGATCACTTGATCGAAGCCCAAGTCGGAGGCGAGAAGGATTTGGCCAGGGCTAAGGTAATCGTGTACATATATGGCTGTAGTACAGTAGTTAACCACTGGTCTTATATTTTAATGATTGCACTACTTCTATGGAGTATGTAAAAACTCAACAATTTGAACTGACAAGAAAACAGCCTGGGTTACAGTGGCTGGTGGTTCAATATTGCTACCACCGGCAATAAAAATGTTAATTTTAAACTGAATTTGTATTGTGACTACAGTCAAGTCAATAAATAGTATACTAGAGTCGTTTTCAAATTTGGAGCCAAAAGAGACTCATTTGATTTAATTCTCATAACCTTAATGTTACCGTAATTATAAGTACATTAAATTTGTTGTCATGACAACAGGGACATGGTCCTATAACTATATATTCGTAAACATTGTTAAATTAGGGGTTATACATTAAAAACTACCTCAAATCTCATTCGTATCTCTGGTTCGAAATTCAAATTCTAAGGTGTTTGCTATTTTTCCAGTAATGCGTGTTGAAATTCGGCAATTTTGTTTAATCAGTATATAATACAATAATAGAGGAAAACTAACTGCATATTAGAACATTATTAAAAACAAAAGAACTACAATTTCTAAACTTTTTAAATAAGTTCCTATTTATTTGTCATCCGTGTTGACGTTATCAAATAAAAAATATAAATGAATATTACATAATATTATCAATAAATTAGTGATTGACTTGATTGTGATGAAGCATTTTTTTATTCTGAACATGCCTAAATACAAAATAATGGAAAATTAAAGAAAGTTTTCAACTTCATTCATGCAATCGTTCCTTTTTGACCGCAAAATTGAAAACGAGCCACTAACAGGTTGAGCATTATGAAAAGTAAATCATTTTCTTAGGACCTCAACAAAGAAGTATACAAGTTCTTAGAGACTGCCGGAGCTAAATATGGAGTCGGTTTCTGGAAGCCCGGCTCTGGTATTATCCATCAGATCATTCTGGAGAACTATGCGTTCCCTGGTCTACTCATGATCGGCACAGACTCCCACACACCTAATGGAGGTGGCCTTGGTGGATTGTGTATTGGTAAGGTTTTTTTTTGACAGAAAAAGCTTATATATTAAGCTTAGCAGCTATAACTTTTATTGCTCTTGCATATGTTAGGACGTGTGGCCCAACTAATGGTAATTTGTGATCTATGCCAGCGGACATCAACTAGGCAACTGCATATCTTGAACCATTTTTCTTAAAGAGCGTTTGAAGACGTCATGTCATAGTGCCAAGAGCAAGCCAATACTAGATGTTCAATAACCATGTCAAATGATCAAAAAAAGTTAATTAAAAAACTAAATTAATTTAACTTTTAATCTTCATGGATCTCAATTATTGTAATGGACAATAAACCGGTCCGTGAGTAAGGGAATAGCCCCTTAGGCTACCAAATTCAATGATTAAATAGGGAAAATAAGTAAAATAATAAGGACGAAATGTTCTAAAACACTTGTAAAATTCACATAGTTTTAGATTATTTAAACATATTTCGCTACATTTTTTTATGGTGGTAGGACCTCTTGAGTGTCCGCGCGGGTAGGTACCACCACCCTGCCTATTTCTGTCGTGAAGCAGTAATGCCTTTCGGTTTGAAGGGTGGGGCAGTCGTTGTAACTATACTTGAGACCTTGAACTTATATCTCAAGGTAGGTGGCGCATTTACGTTGTAGATGTCTATGGGCTCCAGTAACCACTTAACACCAGGTGGGCTGTGAGTTCGTCCACCCATATAAGCAATAAAAAAAAATTAGGCTTATTTTATAGCCATTGTAGGCAGACAGTCGCTTAGGGACATCAGCAGTGACAGTAAAAAAATTAAAAAAAGAACATAATTTTTGAACATTAAATTCATGAACATAATATATCTAATCAATCATATCAATAAATATTGTATATTTTGTAGTTTTTGTTGTTAATGAAAAAATTTAATGTCTAAGGTGTGGGTGGTGCTGATGCTGTGGACGTAATGGCCAACATCCCGTGGGAGCTGAAGTGTCCTAAAGTTATCGGCGTCAAATTGACTGGTAAGCTTTATTTGCTTTGTAATTCATTATTAACACATTTATGATATTGTCATTGTTAATAGTAAACTATTGGTACAAGTTTTAAAACTTGAGCCTACTTAGAGAAAGCTAAAATCATTACCAAAAATAAATTATAGAAACATTTTATTACAAGTGGTAAATCATTACCGAGTTTTAAATATTTATTGGTTTGGACTATAATATAAATTAGTAAAATGACAAAATAAAAAAGGCATGATTACTTTGAAATATAATAAATCTAGGTACTTTAAAACCACATGCTTTAATACGGAAACAAACTTTTTTTTTTCTCAATTAATATTTTTATTGTCCTCTATCTGTGATTGGTGTGAATGTGTGAACATTTTCAAGTTAATGGGGTGTCTGAAAATGATTTATTTTTATTTTTGTTACTTCATTATGTAGATCATAAAGCTAATAAAATTATTTTAAAAGAATCATATGATGGTTCTTTAAGTTGGCATAGGTAGACAGTGCTTAAGTGTCTCGACCGGGTATCCGGTAAACGGATAGCCCAGCGTTGAACAAAAAAAAAGGCAGTGCTAAATGTGCTCTTGATATTGCTGATGTCCATAGCGACGAGAACTCTTACCAGTCGCTAGGGTGTTGGGTTATGCTCGTCTGCTTCCGACAGCGCAAGTAAAACATACCATAGTCAATATCCTTTTTATATTTTTACACCATATCCTATCATAGCAACGGCCCATATAGTTTTTTTTATACGTGTGAAATTATGACAACTTGATCGTATGGTAGTGTTAATTTTATCGTCAAAAAGATGAAATTCTGTTAAATTTACGTAATTCGTCACATGAATTCTACACACAAACGTCACATGGAGATATCATAGTTTAAATAGGTAACATAAATATCATGGTAGGTAGGTAGGTACCGCTTAGTTCACAAAGAAATCTCATACCAAAGCATCAAAATATATTGCGTGACGTAGCTTGGATCGGAAATATTGATATTACCAATATTTCCAAGGTTACCAAATTTTAAATGGTGTATTTCTTTTTATTGCCTGATATTCAGTGCCCCATGGATACGGGAATGCCGCCCCCCACTTTGAGGTCTAAGTGTCATACAATGGCTGTGCCACTCGTCAAACCAGAAGGCATTACTGCTTGGCGGCAGTATAGGCAGGCTAATGGTACCTGAAGGATAAGACATCCGGTGTATTCTTATCTAACGATGCCACGGTGTTCGAATCCCGCAGGCGGGTACTAATTTTTCTAATGAAATACGTACTTAATAAATGTTCACTATTGACTTCCACAGTGAAGAAATAACATCGTGTAATAAAAATGAAACCCGCAAAATTATAATTTGCGTAATTACTGGTGGTAGGACCTCATGTGAGTCCGCGCGGGTGGGTACCACGACCCTGCCTATTTCTGCCGTGAAGCAGTAATGCGTTTCGGTTTGAATGGTGGGGCAGCCGTTGTAACTAAACTGAGACCTTAGAACTCATATCTCAAGGCTGGCAGCATTTACGTTATAGATGTCTATGGGCTCCGGTAACCACATAACACCAGGTCGACTGTGAGTTCATCTACCCATCTATGCAATAAAAAAATAAAATAAAAGACTACCCGTACCTGTTACCAATAGTGTAGTACAAACAAAATAATACATAAACGTAACGTGTCTTATTGAAAAGCTCAATAAATTAAAATAACCTTTTCATTAAAGAACATCGTATCGGTCACCTTGCGACAATTGTACACAGATTGCTCTAGCACAATGTGACGTCTTAAAAATATGTACATATAAATAGATATTTGTTTTGTATGGACGTAAGCCAAACGGCCAATGTCAGTGTTTATGTTACTTATTTTAGTTTTATACAATATGATTATGTATGATCTCAATTGATTCTATTTAATTTATTACGCATAAAAATATGTTTGTTGATGACGGTTGAGGAGTTTACTGTTCTACATTATGTAATACACCATGTGATATGAAAAAAAATCGGTAAGGAGGCGTAGGTAATTGAAAAAAAAGAGTAGTTTGTATTTCGAACGCGTCTGGCATAGACTAACTCATAGACTATTATGTAACATATAACTGGTTTGCGATTTACTCTACCAACATTACAAAATCAAGAATCTTCATTCATAAACTTCAAAGAAATATATTACCAAATAACTTTATAATAGCAAATAATGCAATTTAATAATTTGCAATTCACCGCAATAAAAACGTTTATATTACAATAACAGAGTAATTAAGTGTGTTACAGTCTTGATAATTTTAATCTTATTTATAAAGTCCCATACATAGTACGCAGTGTTATCTCAGTATTTGTTTGGTTTTTTTTTTTTTTTTGTAAAAGATCAATCAGTGCATTTCCAACCCATGTGACCTTCAGTTAAGATAAATCCGTCTAGACGAAAAATTAATTTTTTTTCTTTTCACAAAATTTCGTAATGCCTTTATAATGATAAGTCCCTGATAAATTTACTCGCATACATTGAAAGACGAACATTATGCTCAAAATAATGCAGATATATCGTTATATTGTGGCAATATCTTACATATTCCGTAGTGAAATGAGTACGTGCTTAGTATGGGTTTGGCCTTAATGGAAAATATAAATATTACGCTTGTATGTAACCAACCAATACTCTGATTCTTAGACATACTTTTTTATGTGTAAGTTTATTTAGTGTGTGCGTACTAAAATTTGTTTCGCATTAGAATTTATATGAACCTCTCATTACGTAATGTAATGCGCTCTTTATCTAGCATGCTCTGAAAACGCGTTGTAATTTTTTTTTCTTAATTATTTTTTAATCTTGTCGATGATGGGGCTATAGATTAGCTTTATGAGAAAGTAAGAAAAACGAAATTTGAATTATAATATAATCAGATTGTAGTACTACATAAAACAACCAAAAAACAACTACCATGCTATCGATTTTAAATAATCGAGACGTGACGATGAATCGAAGAGTTCGGCACAGATTTCAACGTAGTATTACTTATTGTTATTAATAGTAAATGCACGTGTAAATATTAATGCCAATAAAAGTTGACCTCTAATTTGGATTCCATTGTAGGGGGAGACATATTCTCATTAAACGAATTAATGAGCTCACGTTTCACAAGTTAAGTAATGGGTGTGGTGGCATAGACTATTGACACTTTGGAAGTTATCGCAGCTGTTACGCGGTAAGCGATATTTAAAACAGTGTGATACTGTTTTGATATTTAATATAACAATAGGTTTGAATTATGTGAATGACAAATAGGATCTCTCTCTCGGAATATCTCTGACAAGCGCTTTTATACAAGAAAAGGGTGAGATATTCAAACAACATAATAATATAACATCATACAGATAGGAACTAATTATGATCTACGAAATAGAAATGTAAATAAGGAAGATGCATTTATAATTAATGTAAGGAAACATGCTGCGTGAATAGGTCACGGCAGGAAAACTACATCGAAATTAGAAATGAATGTTAAGGGCGATACACACTCAAGGATGACAATATTATTTAACAGGAATATTATTAAAGTAACTTCATTAAATATATAGAGATAGATGAGAAGAAGGATAAGACGCACGATGCATTCGTATCTAGCGATACGATTGTGTCGGTGTACGAATACCGATTTTACCCCGCCTATTTCTGCCGCGAATCAGTATTCTATACTAATATTATAAAGAGGAAAGATTTGTTTGTTTGTTTGTATTGAATAGGCTCGAAAACTACTAAACCGATTTGAAAAATTCTTTCACTGTTTAGAAGCTACACTATTCCCGAGTGACATAGGATATAATCTATTTTGAAAAAAAATAGGGATCCTTACTAAAACTCCAATAATGTAACCCAAGGTGTAAAAAAAATACCTAAAATATTCTTTACATCGCGTGCCCTGCGAAAACAAAACAAAAAGTGTCGCGACAGCATACGTCTAACTATTATAGTTATGCCGCAATAAGTGTTCTTTTATTAAAAAAAATAAAACGTCAAATATCGTTGAAATTTTTGTTAAAGACCCGAGCGGAGCCGGAGCGGGCCACTAGTGTACTATAACAGTGAGTAGTTATACAGTTAGCGTCTAGTAAACGATTATATATTTACCCTATAAGAAATCCATTTAAGCCCGAATGTTTCGGTGCGGGCTGTATGGGCCGGTCGCTGATATAAAGAAAACTTGCGCTTTGTGCTGCAATACGATTTATTTGAATGTTCATACACTTGATAGTTTATTAATATGATAAACGCGTCCGCTTGAGATGAAAAGACCTTTCCAAAGATCTTTTTTGCCACGTACCATCCGGCTTTGGAATGAACTCCCCTCCACGGTGTTTTCCGAGCGCTATGACATGTCCTTCTTCAAACGAGGCTTGCGGAGAGTTCTTTATGGTAGGCAGCGGCTTGGCTCTGCCCCTGGCATTGCTGACGTCCATGAGCGACGGTGACCACTTACCATCAGGTGGGCCGTATGCTCGNTTTAATACAATTTTATTGTAAAATATAAATAATATTCTTTTATAGTTTGAAATTAATGATTAACTCTTCACACTCATTGTTCATTCATGTGATTGAACGAGAACTGAACGCATCACTATTACTTTAAATATAGCAACATTATTTCACAAAGTGACATTAGCTACTGTCAGCTGGCTTCGTCTAATTAAAAATCCGACTATAGGATATAATCTATTTTGAAAAAAATTAGGGATCCTTACTAAAACTCCAATAATGTAACCCAAGGTGTAAAAAAATTACCTAAAATATTCTTTACATCGCGTGCCCTGCGAAAACAAACGTGCCCTGCGAAAACAAAACAAAAAGTGTCGCGACAGCATACGTCTAACTATTATAGTTATGCCGCAATAAGTGTTCTTTTATTAAAAAAAATAAAACGTCAAATATCGTTGAAATTTTTGTTAAAGACCCGAGCGGAGCCGGAGCGGGCCACTAGTGTACTATAACAGAGAGTAGTTATACAGT